TAGCCCTGCAGTAAATGAATTCAAAATCTCTGCAGAATCATTCATATTAAAGTGCAGTGACTGTACAATTTACTGACCAGGTGCACAAAAATAAAGCCCCCTCTTCAAATAAAGTTTTTTTTACATAGTCCCAATCAGCCGTGAAATCATTAGAGAGAGTCCCTTTGTGTTCTACTACTGGTGTAAGGCCAAAAAATACCACTAGCAGCAGAGAAGGACACCATTGTTATTTCTAACTGGTAGAAGCCCTGAGGTTATTTTTCCTCTGCCTTGAAACAAATCAATGAAGCACAACTCACTTTGAACAACTGCACATTTGCTGAAATCAGATGTGGGTTGAGGAACCAGCCGTCATCGTGCTTATTCTGTTTGTTGACAGAGGGAGGACTTTGATAAACAAACCTGTTCTTTGAAACAGGTGCCCAAGTATGAGTTCAGTTTTGAGAAGTAATTCAGAAAACTGACTGATAAGAGGGTGTTTGTTATTTTGCATGCAACCATTAGGATTCTGTTCAGTCTTCCCAAAGTCACAAAGAAGGCTTTTGGTATAAACAATGATACTATTTATTTTTCAACCAATATAACACATAAGTTTGACATGGATTTTGGTAAAACATTCAAACATCCCAGCAGTGAAATTGGCTGTCCTTTCCTATCACTCTGATAGAAGTGGAAACCAGTGGTGGAAGAAGTACACAGCTTCTTTATGTAAGTAAAAGTAGCAATATCACAGTGTAAAAATACTGTTACAAATAAAAATCCTGCATTCAAATTGTTACTTAAGTAAAAGTACAAATGTATGAGCATAAATTATACTTAAAGCACTAAAAGTACTCATTATGCAGCATGGCACAGTTCACATTAATGTATATCACATTACTGGGTCATACTGATGTATTATTGTGCACATCACATTTATTGGTACATTTATTGAACATCCTGAAGTAAAGTACAAATACCTCAAATGAGTAAATGTACTTAGTTACTTCCCACCTCTGGTGGAATCAAACAATAAATGTCATGATTCGGTTCCGCTGCTTCCCGTCCGGCTTTTATTCTGACGTTACTTCCTGTTTTTGTTTCACCTTAGTTTCGGTCTTTTTACGTTCTTCATCACTCACATTAGTTTCACCTGCTTCGTTATTGTTTGCACCTGTTTACACCTCTATTTAGGCAGCGTCCTCCCACAAGGACGTTGCCAGATTGTTCTAGATCCCAGTCCTCTGACTTTCCAGCACTATCTTCAGTTTTGGTATTTGTGTTTCTGACCCGGACTGTTTCCTTGGATTATTCTGTTCTGCCTTGCCCTCTTAAATTCGGACTGCTTATGTGTATCGGCTTAACGGAGTTATCTTTGGACAACGCGTTTTGGATTCCCTTGATGTATGTGTTTGCTGGTTTTGATCTTGGGCTGTTATACCGACATGTAAGTTTTGTGTTTTCACCGTGTCTTGTATGTTTTTTTTGTTTGTTTGTTTACGTTAGTTCTCTCATTAAAGAGACGGTTTTGTTCATCACTTCCTCGTCTGGCCATTTAATGAGTTCACCAAACCGTTTCGGCAGCATCACGCGACGTTTCTGACAAATAAAACTTGATCAAATCAGCCTCTGTAAGAATAATTTCTTTATTCAGTGTTGCCCCCAAGTGTTTACACTGGAAGTTACATGGAATTTCAATGACGTATATTTACATTTCAAAGCAGTTAACATACTAAATCTTACAAAACTTGGCACTCATTATTTAAAGTTAAATGTATGGTCTGCTTTTTCAACTCAAACACATGAAAACTGAAGCCATGACTTAACCATGGTGTCTGTCACTGGCTGCTCTACAACAATATACACAACAGTCCGCCCGGTTCACAAACTCAGCTTATCCTCCCTATCAACATATGGAAGTGCTTTCAAATCACTATCTACAGTACTAGCAGCAAATGGTCTTAAATCAGTCATTTTAATATCAAAGCACTTAACACTAGAATGATGATTACTTGCAGGTGGATATCCATGCTGCTTGTCAAGACTGCATTTGAAGAAAATGACTGAGTTCTTATCCGACACGTACAGTGCAGCCAGTGTTCAATAGGCAAGATCACATTACAGAAGATTACTTTGGAGTTTCAGCAATTTTCCCAAATTACACTGGCCTTTGGTCTCTGCTAAACGTGATTGACTTGAATGGTTTTCATTAGAAAGCCTTACAGAGTCTTTGCTGTTGATACAAACAGCAAAGACTGCTGGTGATGCTCGTACACAAAAGTCGTTGCATTTGAAAGTGAGTGGGTGCAGCTGGGACATTGGAAGCAAATGAATATGCAGATCACTTCATGGAAATACGTCATGTTTTAAGGGAACACAGGCTGTGCTGTTTTATTTGTAATGCTGGTCTTTATTTCACAAGCCTTACACAACCACTTGGTGTCACTTGGCTGTCTTTAAAAAGAATCAATCAGTAACTCAATATGTATGAAATACTGAGTCAATACAGGCTTTCACAACCAATGTGCCATGGAAGTATTCTGGTATATGGTGTTTTGATGTGTTCAGTGGATGTTCACAATAAACCAAGCCTTATATGATTTACAATAAGAGTCATATTTGAACTTCAGAACACCCTCTGTGTGTCTCTCCCATTCAAAAAAAAATTGAAATGAAATCTGGGTAATGAAAATCAGTTAGATGTCAAAGAGCCTGACAAGAAAATAGCCATGAATAACATGACCACCCTTATTACCCTTCTAGAAAAATACTTAGAACTGGATCCAAAATGAAGAGTAATCCAGACACACTTTCAATGCCACAAAGAATAAGAGCTATTTATCTTGGCCAGAGATATTCCCACATTCCCATCAGCTGTTTGGCTGCTTTGCCAGCTGCCTCAAAGATGAAATCCAATAGGTTTATCAGTAAGAAGTGAGAGATGGTGTCATATACTTCTATGCAGCCATGCACATTAAGCTCAAATAATTACCAAGCTTGGCAACATGAACCTAATTTTGACAACCCGCTGTCATTTTATGTTCAAATGATCTCTGTTGCACACAACTAGCTACCACTGGAAAAAGTTAAAGCTCTTCAACAAAACAAAAACAGTTTTTGCAAGTCTGCAGTGGTTCTGCAGGTTTGTGATGCCATCTTGAGGAGATTTGCTGATATAGCATGAAACTAATACACTATACAAGTCTTCTACTTGTAAAATAAATATTTGGGTTTTTATATGCCACCATTAACCTACATAGAAGTAATTTTGTGTCTCCACTCTTGTGTGTGGAGACAGCCCAGGACATTTAATCTAATCAAGCCTAGTTGACCTGAACTCATTCGATATGGTCTTTACAAGGTCTTTTTACAGCCTAAAACATCTAAACTAGTGCCATCGTTATCAGTGGTGGAAATTAACTAAGTACTTGTACTCGAGTACTGTAGTTAAGTACAATTTTGAGGTATCAGTACTTGAGGAGTTTAATTTTGTGCTACTTCATACTTTGACTTCACTACATTTTAGAGAAAAATGTTGTACTCTTTACTCTAAATACTTTGATTACTTTACTTACTAGTTTCTTATCAAAAGCTATCAATGCAAAATTTACAGTACAATTGTAAAACTTTATTGATGTCTTGTGGAAAATTCGCAAGCTAACCAGATGTAAAGTATTTCAAATTATAAGCATATAAGATACTTAAAACTAGCTCCACCTTTAACAGCTGCAACATTAAATGTGATGAACTCAATAATGCATCACTATTTATAATCAAATCATATCATACACATTATTGTTAAATGTGCCGTTCTGCATAATGAGTACCTTTAGTACTTTAAGTATGTTTGTACTTTTGCTTGTAAGAGGGTATTTGTACATTGTGATGTTGTTACTTTTACTTTCGTAAGGGATCTGAGTATTTTTTCCACCACTGATTATTACGAGGTCACAGAAAAGGCCAAGACTGAAACAGTCACTGTTAACTATGTAAGAACATATAAACCACAAAGTGCAATCTAAAGCCTCAAAAGTATAATAGACATATAGCAACTACTGCTAACATCATGAATAAATAAATTATAGACAGCAATATACAAACTATATAAATATCACAGAGCACTAGGGGAACTTTAAATCTGCAATAAGGATTCATTCAAAATCTAGTTAGTGGCCGCATGACTAGAATCAGTCACCTCATTATCAGCTAAACAAAATCCAAAGAAATGAACTACTAAACTGAACACCAGTAGGAACTAATACTTGACCTACTGGAGACTTTACAAGTGACTTGAACCTTCCTGTTGCTTCCTCTGTGGATGCTCCTCTCTTCCTTCTACTAAAATCCAGCAGCACTTTCAGAGAATCGTTGCTTTTGAATGCTCAGCTAGTCCTCTCCAGTCCAACCTGTGTGTTCCACTGTTTCAGTCCTGAATACTCTCTGGCTGTCTTCGTCTATCTGCAGTTATAATGACATCACATTGTGGGAAACTACTTAAGCAAAATGCAAATATTTTTCTCACCACTGATCAAACAACTAAAACTACTTAAGCAAAATGCAAATATTTCTCTCACCACTGATCAAACAACCTGAACAAAACCCTTAAATTATAACAAATAAATGAAAAACATGAGGATTTGTATGCCTGGCTACATTTTATTAGCAATAAAAACATCAAGGAAGTTCAGAGTGTGAACCACACGCATGCACCCAAATCCATGCTTGCTCAGCATGTCTGCATACTGGCTCTCCCTCCTCTTCATCCCCTCAGTCTGGGCATGCATGTTCACAGACTGCGGAGCAGAGTAGGGTGTCTGTCCATCCAGCATGGTCTCAGCTATGAGCACTGCACAACCTAAGGCCCAACATAACAAGTTGTTGAAGAGCTTAAGGAACAGGAATTATAAAATGCTTCGTAGGACACACACAATAGTATTCACAGTTTTTGTGTCCAATACTTCAAATACAAACAGATCTTTTAAAAACTGAAACCATCTTTACATAACACAAAAACATACATCTTAAAATAAAGACTTTTTTATTGGTTCAGAGAGGCTCACACATCATTGTAAATCTATTCCTTAGTCCTTTATTTTAGCAACAGTCACCTACAACATACAGTTCAATGTACTGCAAGTGTTTCTTTACAGTGTTGTACAGAGTGTTGTCTGTCACACTTTGATGCAGAGCATGGCATCCAGCAGGTTATCTGTACGCCTGACATTTGCTGTTACAAAACCGTGGGTCTTCAACAGCAGGCTGTATTCTGTTGCACTTCTCTGTTTCCCTTCGCTCATGCTGAGGGCCTGCAGCAGCCCACGCCTTGGGCCCTTCCTGTCTTCATCCAGGAAGATCTCACTTAGCAGGAGCCCACAACCTGGCAGCATGGTGCAAGTGCATGATGTGTATGGTGATATACAACTTTAAAGATAATGTTGGTTATGTATCCCCTTCTCTGCTTCTAATTAACTTCTTCAGGACAAGAATAAATAACTCCAAAAAAGAACCAGGCAGAAAACAACACTAGCATCACAGTTTTAGAACTTTCACACGGTCAGCTTCTTAGTCATTCTCAGTTTTTTTTATCAGTTAAACACTAACAATAGCAGCAGCAGTGATAACTGAAACCAGATTCAACTGTGTCTGAAAATGTGGTAACGTATCAGTAAGATCAGTTGCTACAATCTCATTCTAGAAATGAAAATTTTACCTGGTTTGCATGCATCTGCAATTTTACTCAACAGAACGTGCACCTTCTCGTCAGGCCAGTCATGAAGGATTCTTGCCAGGATGTACAAGTCTGCTTTGGGCAATTCATCTTTAAAGAAGTCCCCTGCTCATACAGAAAGTAAAAAGCCACACATTTTAGTCATAGTAAGTGTACATTTATATTTGACACTGGTAAAATAAGCCAATAATACAGCATAAGTCAACTTTTAACCATTAAATATTAATGGTATAGACAGTACTTTTAGATGAACAAACTGACCTGCTACAAACGATACCCTGTTGTCTGTGTGCAGGGGATGGAAATGTTCACTCATCTCAACAACAGCTGGCAAGTCAAACACTGTCACAGACAACCCAGGATGGGCTGTAGTAAACTCATAGGCCATGGCACCAGTGCATCCTTGATTCAAAAAACAATCAAAAAGAAGAGATGTAGAAGAACAGTTTATTATTCAAACACACAATTTTATACTTTTTCATCCTGCCCTTACCTCCGAGGTCACAGGCTGTTTTATAACTAGAGAGATCAAAGGCTGTTGCAACAGCCTTTCCTGTAACTTTGGCAATGCTGTGCATGGCGTTCATGAACCTCAGTTTCACTTCTTTACTGCTGAAGTAAGCATCCTTTAAAACGGAAACAAATGACAGGGAAATTTATAAAACAGCATCTGTAAGATCTGTTTTTCATGATCTCATCTGTATATACTATAAATCTGAGGCTGAACTTTAAGACGACCACCTGAAAAATATCCTTTGACTTCTTGCCGAAGGCCTTCTCGTGCTGGTTGGTTCCCTCCCGCACTGCGCTCTCAAGGTGAGAGAAAAGAGGCCACAACGTGTTGTTACAGTGCTGGATGTATTCGTGCAGAGAAAAAGGTGCATCTGACCACAAAAACCACGCAGCCAGACGTGTGTTCTCATACACCGTCTTCTGGCTGGCTGGGAGAAAAACAACAGAGAAGTTGATTTTAAGTTGAGAATTAAATGTATTAATCCATTTAAAGTATGAAAAAGGGAGAGATTCTTGTGTAATTATCAACAGGGCTGCAGTGTTGACTAACTTCTCTCTTTGCTTTTTAACAGTCCCAGAGACACACAAGCCTCCAGCAGGCGTTCAGTCCCCTTCACAGAGGCTTCGATCTCCTGGGCCACCTGAGTTGCATCTAGGCCTGGCCTGCTCTGTAGCAGGTCAAACACATGCAACCTGGATGCAGTAAACAGTGCCTGGACCAGATACAGGAGTAAAGTACAATTTTATTTATTTGAATGTGATAAAAAAGTATCTGCTCAGATCATGATCAAATGAGAAGCACAAGCAAAATAGTAACTTGTGGTTTCCTTTCTGTATATTAACACCAGAAATGCATAATTCACTGTGGTCCACTAGAGTTCCATATCAGTGCATTGCACTTCAGAATAAGTCCATTTAAAGAGCCTAAGAGGAACAGTTCAACATTCTAGGAAGTATGGTTATTCACTTTCTTTCCTGGAGCGTTAGATGAGAAGATCGGTACCACTCTATCCATTAAATATCAACCAGCACCTCGAAAGCACATCAATTACCACCTGTTATATCTTCTTCATTTAATATGTAGTCTTGAGGTTGCCAGGCACCAAGGTTACAGGAAGTCACTGCACCTAAGAAGCTGTGGTTTTACATTTGTAAAACCACAGCTTATCATTTTACACTGTTGTGTAAGGAATGTTAATTAGTGAGTTTCAGAGTTGTTGAAATGCTGAAGTATGTTTTTCCTTTGGACAGAGCCAGACTAACCATTTCCCTTTGTTTCCAGCCTTTACATTAAGATACCCATCTCCTTACTTGTGCTTCATATTTATCATATTGATACAAGATTTGTAGTGATCTTCTCATCTTACTCTCAACAAAAAAGAGAATAAGTCTATTCCTTAAAAACACTTAATTATAACCTGTAGTCAGCTACAACAATAGCAAACACTAAAAGTTAATATTTCAGTGCAAAAGTCATTACATACAGCCTAAATGTAAGCACACACTGTTTACCAGTTACCTTTGAGGCTTTGAATCCATCCACCAGTTCAGTGATTTTCTCCAAGTCTTCTTTATTTGGTTCACTGGCCTCATGTTCTGCCACACTGAGCTCAATCGCCTGCTCTCTGCTGGTTGTCTGTGGTAATGTTGTATTCTCAGAGTCTTGGCGCTCACACTCTGCAGCTGTATGTGTAAACAAGCTGTCTGGCAACTTCCAGGAACTCTCATCCGCTGTACCCTCACTACCTTTCCTTTTCACCTATAAGGCCAGATGGGTTCTGGTAAATAATGACGAATGGTAATGGATTGTGCTCATAGGGTGAAAAATACAAACCTTGTGGACAGGACTGGATGAAGGACCGTCCTGGGTGTGGTGTATTTGGATGGGGCTGGGTGAGGAGTTATGGATGGGTGATGAGGTGGGACTTTGGCTAGACTGAGCTGTCAGGTTGGGTGGGGGCTGAGTGAGTATTGAGGTGTTGTGAGGGGAGTTGTGACTCAGACCCACAGATGCACTGTCCTGGTTTGAAGAAGTTGTCCGGTGGTTGTAAATAAGGCTAATCTGTTTGCAGAAGTGGTTGAGTGGGAAGCCCATAACATTGAAGAAATCTCCATGGACGTACTCCACCAGCATGCCACCCAAAGCCTGAATACCATAGCCGCCAGCCTTGTCCCTAACACACAGATTCCACTTATACATATAGATTTCGATTGATGCTAAACATGTGCTCACATACACAAAGGGGTTGTATATTTAACGACAGGTTCATTAGATGCAGACCTCATCAAAGAATACACTCTAACTTAAAATCAAGAATGCAGCTAGAAACAAAAAAATCAGGTCTCAAAGTCCAAAAAGCAGCAGGTTCATGAAGCTCACATCAACTTAAATGAGGTTGCTACACTGGAAGAAATCAATAACTACACTCTAGGTCAAAGGTTTGGACACACTTTCCCATTCAATTTAATGGGAAAGTGAGTCGAAGCTTTTGACTTTAGTGTACATATTGCACATCTGTAAAAGTTCAAACGTTTGTACTCACATGGGTTCACCGCTATTGATGTACTCCCACAGCATATCTTCAGACAGATGGGCAAATTTCACCTTCGTTTCCTCAAAGAAGTCAATCATCTGATAATCCACTCCATCTAAAACAGGGAAGTTCAGAAATGAAATGTGTCCGCCGATGGAACCATAACATTTGGACAGTAAAGCTTTCCAATATGTGTTTAAGAAAATGGCATCACATCCTACATTTGACTTAACTGTTCCAACAAATTTGCTTTTACACATTTCTACAGAAAATGAACTGTGAACAGCTATGACTTACTTTCTTTCTCATGGCAGATGACAATAGCCACACCAGTGAAGACACTGTGCTCTTTACCACTCAACACACATGAAGGAAAAAAAAAAAAAAACTGATAAAACTGAGAAAATGTACACAACATCCTGTGCATGTTCAGTTTCTAATGTTAGTTCAGACAGAATTTGCATAAGTGATACTGACCGTGACAACATCCTGTAAGCATCCTGTTTGTCTATGGGCTTCTCCAGAATCATGCCATCTATAGTCTTTGAAAACGAAGAACAATGAACAAAGTGAATAAAAACACAATATACAACTTATATTGCAGCCAGAAAGCAGATAAAATGCTGTAATGCTCCTTTCTCTTACCACAATAGTGTCTGCTCCGATTACCATGTCTGGAGTTTTCAGGTGTTTCTAATTAAAACACAAAACCTTATGAATATGTGATTCTACAGCAGAAATACACTGTATACTGGCAAACAAAAAGGGGTTTAACTCACTAAGGGCATCCTCCGGGCAACCTCCAGGGCTTTCTGTTTGGCTGTCTCTACTGCATACTCATGAGGTGCTTTGAAAAGTCCCTTGTTAAGGGTTTCTTTAAACCAGGATGGTACCACCTCAAATCGTATGCCCTGACATGTAGCATGGCACAGTGCAACATTAAAATTCTGATTATCAGTGTTTCCACAATCACTGTTATCAGGTAAGACAAGTGTTGATCATTTGTTCAGCCTTAGAATTAGCACCATACGTTGTCAATGATGTCTGTAATCACATACCACATTGCGGAGAATCTCCAGTCTCCTTGGAGAGCCACTCGCCAGCACGATCAGTTTACCGGAGAGCTTGGGAATGACAGGGCTCAGCAACATGGTGGCTCTCATCTAAATGCTCTTAAAGTGATGAACGAAGTTAAACATTAGAGAAGTGGCCTAGTTTATGTCAGACTCAGCAAAAGGTAACCAGATGACGGTAGCTCTTCACTGTCACTGAGGACAGACCCTACAGAGCTGGTCCTACTCGGCAACTAATAAGTCAAAATAACAAATTTGATAAGGAATTAAGAATTTCTGTAATTTCTACAAGGAAAGCTCAGTCCAGCTTCTCCAATGTGACAATTTGCTGCTTGTATGTGATTTCTATCTTGATCCATCTAAATAAGCAGTCAACTGACAATTTTATACTACTGTCTGACTTTTGATTGGACTAAACAATTAAGTGATTAATCTATTATGAATACATTTTAATAGTTGCAGCCCTAGGTACATATTTCTCATGGAAACATGCAGTGCATTCAAAGAAGACAATGGGCTGTCGTTCATCTACTAAAATTAAAAAAAAAATGCAAAAAGGTATATGTATAACTGATGTTTGTTGCCAATATGTGTAAGTTATTGCACCTACATACTCAATATGCGGATCCTCTGAAAGAAACCAAAGTTAATCACGTAACGTTATATAATAGCCTACATGTTTTAAGCATACAACCAATTAATATATCATTCAACATACATAATAATCGTTAGCTAACAACCAATTAATATATCATTCAACATACATAATTATTATTAGCTAACTACACTGCTACTCTATTTATGTTAATGTGTTAGCTGCACCAGTCAATAACAGCCAACTTGGATTTTGGATTCTGGAGCAGAAAAAGCTCCTCGTACTGCATGTTAACAAAACGCTCATGTTCCCTTTGGGTAGTGAGTTCAACCCAAAAAACAATTATTAAACACGGTCACCTAAAATATAGCTATAGGCCGAGCTTTAATTAGAGTATATGTGAGGTGCAAACTTACCTACAGAAGCCAGGATAGTTACTACGGTTCTTGGTACAACCAACGTGTTGGCGCATACGTGATGACGTATCAGTGTGGGCGGAGCAACCAATAGCACACTTAGAATAGAGTATAAGCGTCCCATGCAGTTACTACTATCCCAACAAGAGGCATATTAACAAGAAAAACTATGAATTTATTTTTATAGAGAACAATACAGTAAATACAAAAAGTATAAAGTGAATGTCATACAAATTTAAAAGGTGAACTAATAATAATAATAACGATAATAATAACAGTACAGAGAAATCACAGTATAGAAACATTTACACAAACATATTCAAATATAATGTTACAAAATGGTAACTGTGCTATGTTTGGGAAGTTAAGGGAAAAATAATACAAATATTTTATTCACATTTTATTAGCACTTGTGCATGCTACATGCAGAATTACGTTAACTATTATGATACATGTATACAGACCATAAATGCTTGCCATTCTTAAAAAAAACACACACACATATTGTAATGCACCACAACCCTGTTCAGGATATATGGTATACATAGTAGATGGAGGATGGATGGGTGGTTATGCAGAAATAAAGACTGATTGTGGCACAGAGGCTCAGTTGTAGTTGTTCACTGTTTCTATGATGCACACAAAAAGATGATGTAAAATTATTTTGAAATATGAACCAAGATAGGATGTTGTAAGAGCATGACTTGATTTTTTTCTCAATTGCTCAATCTTATTTTCTGTCTCATTCCCTCTTGCTATTCTGTGGTTTGTGTTGGCATCAGAGATACTTTGCTATGTTCTCTCTCTTGACCTTCAAAAGTACACTGTGCTGAGTACAGACTCTCTTTATGATCCGTTGCAACCAAGTCCATACTACTCAGGCTCTGCAGATTCAATATTTGTCTCAGCTTTTGTCTGAAATCTTTGGATGCAAAATAGTAAATGAATGGATCAATGCAGCTGTTTAGGCAGCTAAAACAGAGTGACAGTTTGTAAGCCATGTAAGCAGACTTCTTATAGAAGAGTCTCAGCACAGTGTGACTCAACAGGAGGATGTTGTTGGGTGCAAAGCAGACGGTGAAGACCAGGAGAACAATGAAGGCCAGGCGTATTGCTCTCTCTTTCTGGGCTGTCTTGGAATCTCTGGCCAGTTTGCGTATGACACTAACATAGCAGAATGTTGTGACACAGAAAGGTAAGAGGAAAAGGATGAACACCATGCTGAGGAGGAAGGCTGCCCAGGCTAGCATGGACGGGAGCATGTCTTTTTTCAGCACGTCAAAGCAAGTGGTAATCCCGAGCTCAGGAATGTCAAAGGTCAGGTCTGTGGTCATCAGCGGGTACAGAACACTCAGGACCAAACCCCACATAACGAGACAGCCGATGACAGCATTGAACTTGCGCTTCCTGGTCTGTCTGAATTGCATGGGTTTGACAATGCCCAGGTAGCGGTCAATGCCAATGGCCATCATGGTCAGGATGGAACAGTACATATTGGTGTAGAACATAAGGGTCACAAAACTGTAGGTAGATAAGTAGAAGAAGAGCATTTTATTTCATCATTCAGCAAAATGATAATTTGAGGTATAGTTTGACATTGATTTTTGGAATGAGAACGACTCATAACTGGTTGTTCAGTTTGAATCTACTACTACTAGCCTATGGGCAATTTAATTTAGGATAAAGGTTAGAAAATAGGAAACAGCTGTTTGGTAATAGACTGTGGCCTTGGAGTTCCTCTCAACTTCAGTAATTATCACATTGTGTCTTGTTTGTTCAATCTGTACAAAGTGTAAAAATGACACTGTGAATTCACAGGACTATGAGACCATCAGGCAACACCAGGAAGTCACTGCACCTGACCAAGAAATAGTCTTGCTGGCTGCAACTCCACACCAAACAGATATGAGAGTGGTATCAATCTTGAACATCTCTTGGCAAAAAAGCAAATAAGCATATTTTCCAAAATGTTGAACTAATTGCAGCCAATGTACACTGAGAATACCTGGTATCAATAAATTCAACATCACTGTATTTTTAAAGAATACCTGCATGTCCTTGTTCCCAGAGTCCAGTGGTATCCTTGGAGCTGGTAGGCGATCTGAAAGGGCAGGGCGGTACCAAGGGCCAAGTCGGTGAGAGTGAGATTAATCATGAAGATGATGGAAGGAGTCTTAGGGGAGGTACGGAAGAGGAGGAGCCACATGGAAAGGCCATTTCCTACCAGATTAATGGCTGTGACAAGCATGTAGATGACAGAAATGATGATGCCAGTGTTTACATCCTGAAACAGGGACAGGGTGGCATTGTCTAGTTTGAAGCTGCTAGAATTCCTGGCCATGACTGGGTGGGTATAATCTCTCTTCACCTGTGTGGTTAAACAAATGTTGAGGTTTTTAGAAAAGCATAATTTTTAGTACAAAATACCGGTGGAATTTAAGCAATATCATATACATCCTAATTTATACAGGATAATAAATCACTGTTTAGTAATTTGTAAGTGGAAAAAAGTTTTGATTTATCAGATATCAATCACCACTGGGGGGTGGGGGGAAACAGATTCTATGCAGTGTTGCGTGCGAGCAATTTCACAGGTTTCTTGTTTTGTGTGTGTAAAAGTGAGGTGATCTGAAGGTGTGAAAGAGAATGTAGAATTTATCTCAGAACTGCATGTCAGCACTGAATTACACAGCTGTTGTTTGCACATGTGTCGGGTGGAGTTTTCACACAGGAAAAGGACATACATCATTTGTGGTGAAGTCTGTCAACGGTTGCTGTGCATAGAGTAGTTCATAAACAATTAAAACCAGAAAAAGTCTGTGGAGTAGACACAAATTTCAATAATCATATTATAATAGGCTTATATTAAGAGATGAAACAAAACTGAATTTTAGTTCAGTGCCATGAGATGGATTAATCTGTACCACGGGCAAGAAACACAAACACTTTCTCTCACACATGGTGTTCCTGGCGGTAGCGGTGAAAGGGAAATACCACAGACCAAACAAACATTCATTACTGAGTCAGTGTAATTTTTATAAGAAGTTGTGTAAGGAAAAGTACACCATTACCACAACTGCAATCAGCACAATCATTGTAAAAATGATAACTCTTGCTGCAACACTAGCAAACTGAGATTTTTGGGTTATAATGTGTTTGCTTGCTTGTTTCTTCTTCTTTTTTTTTAATACAAAAATTTGAATTATTTTTCCCTTTTTCTCTCCAGATGACTACAGTACTTGTTGTACCACTGTAATGGGATCAAGTGTTAGATAATACATATTTCTGTTATATATTACTAAGCCAATTAAAAGAAAAAGCATTTTCACTGATGACACATAAATATAATTGACAAATGGCACATGGTGCAGCAAGGCCCGTATTCAAACACACGCCAGACGAACTTCAGTAAAAGTCAGTTGATAACTCACCTATATGAACACAGAGGCAAACAGAACAGGAAGGCATGTGTCAGTTGTAGATAGAGGTACAAATACTGTGACTACTGAGAAAATGGGGCACTTCTTACATTACAGAGCAAGAGAGAAAGAAAGGAAATGAGTCATGTGACAAGCTTCGTCCTACCAACTGTAGTAACAGTCACCTATTTGATTCGGTGTTGGACAATGTTAATGACACACGTGTCTAAGACTCTCCACATAACATAACACACTGGTACAGAGGCTCTGAATGTGCTTGTAAGTCAACAAGAAAAATAAAGAAAAATATGTACTCAGCACTGTAATCTGCGTGGTTGTCTAGTCTAGGTTGCCATTGGTTCATAAATCATTTCTACAGTCTACAGCTATACGTGTGAATGTGGGGCAACTGAATACAACTAAAGGGCTTACAGGAAATGCCTTAAAGTAATATTTGTAATATGTATGCAAATGAGGACAACATACAGTGGTGTGAAAAAGTGTTTGCCCCCTTACTGATTTCTTATCTTTTTGCATGTTTGTCACACTGTAATGTTTCAGATTGTCAAACAAATTTATATATTAGTCAAAGATAACACAAGTAAACACATCATGCAGTTTTTAAATGAAGGTTTTTATTATTAAGGGAAAACAAAATCCAAAACTATATAGCCCTGTGTGAACAAGTGTTTGCCCCCCTGTCAAAACACTGGTTTATCGCACCTGAGTTCAATTTCTCTAGCCACACCCAGGCCTGATTACTGCCACACCTGTTCGCAATCAAGAAATCACTTAAATAGGACCTGCCTGACAAAGTGAAGTAGACCAAAAGATCCTCAAAAGCTAGACATCATGCCGAGATCCAAAGAAATTCAAAACCAAATGAGAAAGAGAATAATTGAGCTCTATCAGTTTGGAAAAGGTTATAAAGCCATTTCTAAAGCTTTGGGACTGCAGCGAACCACAGTGAGAGCCATTATCCACAAATGGCGAAAACATGGAACAGTGGAGAACCTTCCCAGGAGTGGCCGGCCGACCAAAATTACCCCAAGAGCGCAGCGACAACTCATCCAAGAGGTCACAAAAGACCCCACAACAACATCCAAAGAACTGCAGGCCTCACTTGCCTCAGTTAAGGTGAGTGTTCATGACTCCACCATAAGAAAGAGACTGGGCAAAAATGGTTTGCATGGCAGAGTTCCAAGACGAAAACCACTGCTGAGCAAAAAGAACATAAAGGCTCGTCTCAGTTTTGCCAGAAAACATCTTGATGATCCCCAAGACTTTTGGGATAATACTCTGTGGACAGACGAGACAAAAGTTGAACTTTTTGGAAGGTGTGTGTCCCATTATGTGTGGCGTATATGTAACACCGCATTTCAGAAAAAGAACATCATACCAACAGTAAAATATGGTGGTGGTAGTGTGATGGTCTGGGGCTGTTTTGCTGCTTCAGGCCCTGGAAGACATGCTGTGATAAGTGGAACCATGAATTCTGCTGTGTACCAAAATATCCTGAAGGAGAATGTCCGGCCATCCGTTTGTGACCTCAAGCTGAAGCGAACTTGGGTTCTGCAGCAGGACAATGATCCAAAGCACACCAGCAAGTCCACTTCTGAATGGCTGAAGAAAAACAACATGAAGACTTTGGAGTGGCCTAGTCAAAGTCCTGACCTGAATCCAATTGAGATGCTGTGGCATGACCTTAAAAAGGCAGTTCATGCCCGAAAACCTTCCAATGTGGCTGACTTACAACAATTCTGCCAAGATGAGTGGGCCAAAATTCCTCCACAGCGCTGTGGCAGACTCATGGCAAGTTATCGAAAACGCTTGATTGCAGTTGTTGCTGCTAAGGGTGGCCCAACCAGTTATTAGGTTTAGGGGGCAAACACTTATTCACACAGGGCTTTGTAGTTTTGGATTTTGTTTTCCCTTAATAATAAAAACCTTCATTTAAAAACTGCATGATGTGTTTACTTGTGTTATCTTTGACTAATATATAAATTTGTTTGATGATCTGAAACATTACAGTGTGACAAACATGCAAAAAGATAAGAAATCAGTAAGGGGGCAAACACTTTTTCACACCACTGTATATGTGTGTATATGTGAACCATCTTCTATGGTTCACATATACACACATGCTACTTGAAAAGTGAACTGTGAAGATTTTGTTCTTGCTGGCTTCCTGTTGATTAAACTAGTTCTGCTTTATCTAGCCTAGCACATTTTGATTAGGCCTGCTACAATAGAGACCACTGAATACATTAGCACCAACATGGCACATGCCTCCACTATGATCTCAGATTTCTAGAGCCAGTTATTTTAGTTTAGCCTCAGAAAATATGCCTCCAGTATCACTAGTGAAACAAGGACATGTCTACACTGTTAGGATTGGATTTCAGGAGTTACAGTTGTTTTATTTACTGTTAGTATTATTTTGCTTTTATAATGATAAAGTTTAGTATGACTGTCTGTGTTTCATTAACAGCACCATGTATCAGTATTAACCTGGCTCTTATGCATGCACTATAGTTATAATTTTCAGCTTCGAGTCAACTTGTAGTATTTCTCATCTTCTTGGATAATTGTGCAAGAATAGATTGCATAAAAAAGTGTCGTTCTGGAAACTATAGATAAGATAGTTAATTTATGCTATTTTACAGACGTGAAGTCTGGCGGGCTTGAATTGTTTACTCATGTCTGAAGTATGAGTAAAGGGTTTTTTACAACAGAATCAGGGAAGTAAGTGACACAGCTAACTGCATGTCCACTTTCAGTTGGAGAGAAACGCCTGAAAATAGAAAATAACAACACACACACACACATACTGCCTATATGAACATTCTAGAATATTGACGTGCAACGTACCACCGATGTACAGGGCAGTCCCAGCCTGAGAAGATAAATGTGAATGATTTTTGATTATCGAGGCTCTTGGAGACTTGTCATCTCTCAGAGCCCAGCACTGTAATAACTCTGCATTTAACCAGAAGAAAATAAATCTACGTTAAGCTGATTCCTGTTTCCTGGGTGTTACTTCTTGGGGCCTTCAGATAAAAGAACCGGTTAAAATTAAAAACACCCACTAACAATAAAGTGTTCATGCATTGCATTAACTATAACTGACTCATAATTGTAATTTGTAAACGTGTACTATGGGCAATGCTGCATACAAATACTGCCTCACCCAAACTGTCAGAGAACTACCACAATGACTATTTAGTCTCATATAATGGTAGAAGAGCTTTATTTTTTCACAACTATTGGGAAAAAATAGACAAATGTTAGATCATGTGCAAAACTAATATAAAGCTTGTTAAACAGACTGCAATAATTTTCCAATACTTGTGTCTTTTCCATTACATTTAAATGACAGAATTAATAGAAAACCATGCAAACAGCATAAGAAATTAATTGTCTTCACTTATTGGTTTCATACTTTGCAAGTGTATAGTTTATTTCTAGGAAATGTTTTATAGAAATGTAGAGAAAGTGTTCTTCCTGGCTCATGAGTGATCATATACAAAATTTCACTCGCAAAAAAGTTATTTTTGTACAATGCCTTAGAATAACATGAAGCCAATGTAATAAGGCATAAAACCTAGGGAAACGCAGTAAAATACTGTATGTTGACATTGTCCTCTTAATAACACTCCAGCTCAGTCACTCACCTTTACACAAAAATACACAGAATATCCTCTGTTAAATTGTCTACATCCACTGCCTTTGTTTCTTCTTACATTATGTTTTGTAAAATCTATAGGATCAATATAAAGATCTAGGTTGAGCAGACTCTACAAAGGCTTAGTAACAAGCTCGGCTGCAGGGGACCTGGTCACAATTTTACAAACAAACTGCATGGACATCACATATGAGCGGCCTTTTCAGAAACATGACCAAGAGGAATGACACTGGACTGCACTGCACCAAGAAAGCACAGGGGATATAGAGATGAGTGACAAATGGGGAGGACATAGTGTCAGTAAGGTGTTGGGCCACCATGTGCCACCAAAACAGTTTCAGTGCACCCTGGCACTGATTCTACAAGTCTCTGAACTATACTGGGAGGATGAACACCATTCTTCCAAAAGATATTTCCTCATTTGGCATTTGGATGATGGTGGTGGAGACCCCTATCTACTGTAACACATCGCTCCAAAATCTCCCGTAGATGTTCAAATGGGTTGAGATTTGGTACCTGTGAAGGTCACAGCATATGATTCCCATCATTTTCACACTCAGTGACCCCTCGTGCCCTGTGGATGGAGGCACTGTCATCCTGGAAGAGACCACTCATTTATTCAGGGAAGAAATAAAGATAACTTGTGCTGCCACAATGGTAGCTACTATTATTTGCCCCTTTTCTCAGTATTTTTCAGATGGTTTACTTCAAAGATTCAACCTAACAGTAAACTTTGATCATTCTTTGATCACTAACCAGTGAGACAGTTAAAATGTTTTGCACTGTATGTCCTAAAATGTTCATGCTCCAGCAAAACATTCAAAGCTATGAGCTTAACAGATTAAAATTAATAAAAGACTGTTTGATTTTGTAGTCCTCATCTCTCTATGTGGTATATTAAGTCTCAAAAGCTCAGTAATAACCAAACCTGCATCAATATAGGGCTAAAAAAGGTAAATAATTTATTTATGTTTCCTCTAAACATCCAGATTTCTCACTGCTCATCTTTGCTTTTCTCAAACCCCTTGTCCAGTCCTGTTGCCATGGTGACTACCTCATAACAGTGCTCGGTTCCAGGTTCAGGCGAGTGGCCCACGGGGATGCAGTCATAACCTTTGCCTGCTGAGCTCATGCGCTTACGGTTGCGTGCACCCGGCTGATAGAGCTGCATGGCTGGACGGTCCTGCAGGGAGATGAGAAAGCAGCGACATGGGAGAGACAAGCAACACACAAATACACTTATTTAATAGTCATACTCATGACATAAATACACAAAGTAAAAAACATGATTTCTCTGAGCTGATGATTAATCTTCTGTAAACTGCCACATGTCAACCAACTGCCAATCTATTGACAATGTAATTAATTGTCACCTACA